CATCTCATCCACCGAAACGCTATCCTTCCCGGCAAATCTCTTCCAGCATCGCGCTGTGCCGTTCGCTGAGGATGACGGCGTTGAGCGCAACCAAAGAACATTTGGATTCTCGTGCTGGTGGCGATCGATGCTGCACCGAACGCCGGCATCTCGTCTGCCACCTTGAGAACTTCAGCCGCGACAACGTGGCCTTCCTCTGCCTCCTTGCACTGTGGCAGCTTACGGAACATTTTCAGTGCCTCGTTGGCACCTGATATCTTGACCTGCGCCGAGGCGACCTCGTCACGGCGCTCTTCGTCGGCCTCGAGCATCTTGTTGGCCCGGAGGGTATCCAGCCATCCGGCCCAACCGGTAAAGATCCTGCCCAGCTGATTAGCGGAGAACAACTTAGTGTCTTGCAAGTGCTCCCTCTCGGCTTCCTGGGCGGCGGCGGTCTCCCCCGCTGTCACCGCCTGCCCCAGCAGCCCTTTGATGATCGGCCGTGCCAGCTCAGCGGCCTGCGCTGCCGTCGCGTCTGGGTGCATCACTTTGACGGTGAACTGCTTCGTCCCACCATCGACGACTCTGCCACCCACGCACACGATGATCTGCCCGCTTGTTATACTGTGCACCTGCGAATCGGCTCCAGCCGTGCCAGACAGCTTCTCAATGATGGCATCCGTGCTCACGGTGAGGGCCATGGCGACTGAGAGGTGATGGCGAGGCGTGCGAGCGATGAAGGGCAGACACTCGATTGCGCCGACGGGCGCAAGTCTGCCGATATCTCATCCGATATCTCATCCAATATCTCGTTAGCTTCGACGCCTCGTGGTGTGAAGTAGATGATGTGGTACAGAGGCCTACGGCCTGCAGGGCGAGCGCCGCACGAAGCCCAGCACCACCCCTCAGCAGAGCTGGCGAGAATCCTGGCGGATTCGCGCTACGGGTACTCGAGTAGGATCCCTACCCGGGTTTGGGCTCAACGAGGTTTGCCTCTCGCACCCCGTCTGTTTCCCTTTCCTTTTTTCTCTACAACACCCTCTCTTTTCCTCTCTATTTTCCCGGGAAAACTGCGTGGAAATCGTCAAATTCTTGGCTCTCTGAGCCGAGTCTGAGGCTGGTTTGTTTGGGCCCAAAATCAGCCAAATTTTAGGCCAAATCGGCAAAATGCCGGGAATTTCGCGGAGAACCCGTGTATACCTGGAAATTACCATGCGACCGTCCGGGTATTTTGTCGATTTCCTCAATTTTGCCTCAGATTTTGCCCCAGCCAGACCAACCAGCTCTCAGACTCAGGGAAACTCGCGAGTTTCCAGAATGGAGCACCAAACACCCTCTGTTTTCCCTGGAAATTTCCGGAAACGCAAAGTGCTGGGGACCCTCTGTTTTCCTTTTTGTTTTCCGGAAAACCTCGAGAGAGAGAGAGATAAAAACCTCGTTGAGCCCAAACCCGGGTACAACGGAGGGCTAACCTCGAAAGCAGATGGCTGCGCTCCCTGTTTCGCAGCCATCCGTGCTAAAGGATGGCTGCATGCCTAGAGCGCCTACGTCAACGTCCCTTACTAAATC